CTGGGAAAAGTTACCCTACCTCTCTGAGGCTATTTCTACCCTGGGAAATGAAGATACCTACCTTATAGGGTCACTGTGAAGATACAACAAGATAAAGTGCTTGCATGCTGTGTATAGGGCAGCACGACTAATAAAGAAAACAACACTCAAGGTAAGACAACCAATACACACTGAGTGCTTACTATGTGTATGACTCAGTTCTGAAAGCTTTATGTGTAAAAAGTCATGCAATTCCACAAGCACCCTATGAGGTAGGTGCTATTATTATTCCTGTTTTGCAAATGAGGACATTTAATCTAAGTGATGTTTCAAGACATGTCAAGGTGTCATAGCTGATAAGTTCCAGAGTCAGGATTCAAAAAGAGTGGTTGAACTCCAGAGCTTGCATCCCCAGTCACTGCACTACAGTGCAAAGCTCAGGCACCAGGTTTCAATCAGAGCCACCAAACACAGAGACCATTTCACAGAACTTGGCACGTGAGAGACACTCAGTGAAGAATCGATGTTATCATGTACACGGTGGCATAGGGTCTGACTGGATTTGAATCCCAATTCTAACACTTACTAATGACCTAGTGTATTAGTGATCTATTGATGTGTAAAATTGCCCCAAAACTCGGAGGCCTGAAATGACATTTGCCATCTCCCAAGTTCTGAGTTACAAATCTGAGAGAAGTCAAGGTGAGTGGTTCTGAGCCAAGGTTTCTTGTGAGACTGTAGTCAAGATATCAGTTGAAAATGCATCATCCGAAAGCTTGACTGGGGTGGAAGGGTCTGTTTCTAACATGAGTGAGTCATGTGGCTCACTCACATGACTAATGTCAGGTGGTCTCAGTTCCTTTCTGGATATTGGTAGGAGGTCTGAGTTCCTTAACAGGAGGACCTCTCCATTTGGGCTGCTTGAATGTCCACAGATGTGGCAGGGAGAGTAGTGAGAGAGAGAGAGAGAGAGAGAAGACACAATGCCTTTTAATGTCCTATTCTTCCACCATGTTATTGATCAGAAGTGAATAAATAAATCCAGCCATATCCAAGGGCACAGGAATTCGGCTCCATCTTTCGAAGGGAGATGTATCAAAGTTATTTATTTATTTAATTTATTTATTTTAAAGATATACTGAGGCAAGAAAGTGTTCTCGCCATCTTTTTTTTTTATGTTTATTTTTGAGAGAGAGAGAGAGAGAGAGAGAGAGAGCATGAGCAGGGGAGGGGCAGAGAGAGGGAGACACAGAATCTGAAGCAGGCTCCAAGCTCCAAGCTGTCAGCACAGAGCCTGACATGGGGCTCGAACCCACAGACTGTGAGATCATGACCTGAGCCGAAGTCAGACGCTTAACCAACTGAGCCATGTAGGTGCCCCAAAGTCATTTATTTAAAATGACCACACTGAGGTGCCTGGGTGACTAAGTCCGTTAAGCGTCCGACTTTGGCTCAGGTCATGATCTTGTGGTTCGTGGGTTCCAGCTCCACTTTGGGCTCTGTGCTGACAGCTCAGAACCTGGAGTCTGTTTCAGATTCTGTGTCTCACACTCTCTCACCCTCCCTGCTCAAGCTCTGTCTCTCTGTCTCAAAAATAAATACATTAAACATTTTTTAAATAAAATATTTTTTAAAATGACCACACCAAGGGGCAAGTTATTAATCTCTCAGTGCTTCAGTGTTTCTATCCTTTAAAATGGGTTAATATTAGCAATCTTCATGAAAACTTTGTGGGGTTAAGTGAAACATTCACATAAAGAGCCCAGGAAGCATTCATATATGTTAACTCTGATTACCATTTATTACGAGCTATTCAGAACATGGCTATGTCTCTTTTCTCTTAGTCTCAGTTTTTTCATCTGTCAAAGGGGATTAGTGGTATCTACTCTGTTCAAGGCACACAAAAACTGTTTGCAGAATACATGCACAAACGAATTTATTGAATACATACTATGTATGTGTCAGACCTTGTTCTAGGCACTAGGGATACAAAAATAAACAAACCAGACAAGGTTTTATCCTTATGCAACATACATTCCAAAAGGGGAAGATAAAAAAAGAAACCCACAAGTAAACAATAAGGCAAATCATTTTATTTTATTTAAAATAATTTTAATGGTTTTATTTCTTTTTGAGAGGAGAAGAGGCAGAAGGAGGGAGACAGAGAATCCAAACTAGACTCCAGGCTCTGAACTGTCAGCACAGAGCCCGATGAAGGGCTCAAACCCACGAACTGCGAGATTATGACCTGAGCTGAAGTTGGACACTTAACCAACTGAGCCACCCAGGCACCCCATAAAGCAAATCATTTTAGAAAAAGGAAACAACATGGTGTTGTATGTAAAATAGGATGCAGTGAGATACCACCAAGACACCCACCAGAATGGCTAAAAAGACTGATGACATCAAACGTTGGTAAGTATGTGGAACAAACAGAACTCTCACATGTTGTTTGTGGGTATGTAAAATGGCGCAATTGGTTCGAAAACTCTCTGGCAGTTTCTTATAAAGCTAAACACACACCTTTCCTAGGACTTAATGATCCCACTTTAGATATTTACTCAAGAGAAAAGAAAATCCATGCAAAGACTTGTATGAGTTCATAACTGCTTTATTCATAAAAGCCCCAAACTAAAATAGCTCAATGCCCATCAATGGGAAAATGGACAAAACAACATATATTCATACAATTAAATAGAATTCAGCAATAAAAGAACCTTCTGATACAACATGAACAAAACGAATGATTCAAAAACACGCTCAATGAAAGAAGTCAGTCGCAAAACAAATACGTAGCATAGGATTCCATTTATAGTTCTAGAACAGGCAAAACTCATCTATGGTGGAAAAAAAAAGAACAGTGGGATATAGGGCTGATGTAAGAGCAGGAAGGAACTTTCTGGCAAGATGGAGATGTTCTAGAGGTGCACTGTGTGACATGCAGGCCACCAGCCATGTGGAATAAAATATTTTATTAGTGTTTATTTATTTTGAGAGAGAGAGAAAGAGAGAGAGAGAGAAAGAATCCCAAGCAGGCTCCATGCTGTTAGCACAGAGCCCAACGTGAGGCTTGAACCGTGAGATCATGACCTGAACCAAAACCAAGATTTAGATGCTTAACCAACTTAGCCACCCATGCACCCCCACATGGATTGTTTACAATAAATTATTTAAAGTTAAATAAAATGGAAACTTTGGCTCCACGGGTGCAATAGACACATTTTGATCACTCACAACCACTGGTGAAAGGAACCAGTGGCTACTGTATCCGGATAGTATTGTTCCATATCTTGCTAGGGATGAATTCCTAGGGATCTAGAGTTGTCAAATCTCATGGAATGATAAAGTTAAGATTTGTGCATTTCATTTGTAAAATTTACCTTTAAGTATATTGAACCCCCTTAAAGCTACCTAGGCTGATGTGCTTAGGGGTGGGTATACTCTGTCTGCAGCTTACTCTGAAACGTACCCAAGAATAAGATGAGCTGATGGAAGGATCCAAAGGTGCACTGACGTTTGGTAAATCAAACATACCAAACTGTTAACTGCGGAATCCAGGTGGAAGGCAAGTGTATCTTCATGATACAAGTCTCTCAACTCTTCTGGGTGAAAACTTTCATAAAATTATGAAAGACCACATGGTGACATAATTAAAGAATGAATATCCGAGTGGACAAACATAATGGGGAATCTTAGCTAGGGGGTCAGAGAATAACCAGACAAGGTTACTTGCAGAATCACATTCATTCACTCACTCGTTCATTCAGGATGCAGCGATGAATCAGACCTGGTCTCTTCACTTGAATCCAGGAGATGCCAGGAGAGTAACCACTTGTGCCGGGGTGCTGAGGACCTACTATGTGCCTCGGTTGGAGCATGGGTCAGTGGAACAGCACAGCCCATATACTTTTCTAACTCCTCTACACTGCTTCCTTGTGGCTTTACTTCTCTGGCCTCAGAGTGGGCTACCTCACCCTTCCTTCACTGTAATTTCAGAGAGATGCAAAAATGTCCATTCCACGAGGGTGGGGACTTTGTTCACTGCTTGCTCTCCACCACTGAGCACATAGGAGATGCTCAGCAAGTATGTGCCCAGGAAACGTAAGAATGAAAATTGTGGTCTCAGTGGCCTCTCTACCCCCTAAGGCCTCATTCCCTGCTTCAGGACTTTGGTCTTGCAGCTCTCACTGTCTGGACTGCTCTGTCTTTCTAGTTTTTGCATCCTCTGTTCTCATCATTTAGGCCTTTGCTCTAGCATCACCTCCTGCAAGCGGCCTTCCCTGACCACCCCGCCAGTCTCCCCACCTCCCGATCATCAAGTGCTTTTTTGCATCATCTGCTTTTTGTTTTTTCTGAAAAACAACAACAACAACAACAATCTATAGCAGGGTACAAAATAATACATACTCATAGATTTATTTGAAAATCACCAGTTTTATTAAGGCTTTGTGATGTTTGCAAGGTGTTTATTTGTCCTACTAATGGCAGCGTCTCCCCAGATATTCTCTGTAATGCAGGGAGGCTCTCCGAGTGCACATTATCCTGTTTTGGCTCCTTCGTATTGTTGTCACTCTCTGAAAAATTTTTTTTTGCCCGTTGTGTACGTTTCTTTGCTTTTCATCTGTCTCCCCTTCTCAGAGGGATGGCAGGAACCTTGTCAGTTTTGTCCACAGCCCCATACAGTAAGTGCTCAGTGACACGGGCTCGCTGCATCGGCGCGCACGGCCCCTGCAGTCACGCTGCGGCTGTGGGAGGAGGCAGGCCGGGGTCCTGGGAGAAGACGCGAGTGGAGAGCAGGGGACCGTGGACTGTCCCCCAAGCCCCGCCCCCTGAGCTCCGCCTCCGCCGGGGCGCGTGCGGCAGCCTCGCTCTGGGGCCAGAGCCTGCGCGCTCGCGCCCCGCGCGCCCCGCGCCCCGCGCCCAGCGCTGCCCGCGCGCCGGAGCCGGCAGGGGTTTCGTTCCCCAGCGCGGTCATGTCCCCGGGCCCCGCCCGGCGGGGTGGCGCGGCCCAGGCCCCGGCGCCCGCGGCGAGCGACCGCCAGGGGCCATGATTCGGCTAGGCTGCTGGTGTGCGCGGCGGCCCCGCGGCGCGGCGTTCCCGGCGGGGCGGCGCTGGGCGTCGGGCGGGCCGGCGGGCCGGGCGGGCGGCCGCTCCCTGCGGGTGCTGGTGGACATGGACGGCGTGCTGGCCGACTTCGAGGGCGGCTTCCTCAAGAAGTTCCGCGCGCGCTTCCCCGACCAGCCCTTCATCGCGCTGGAGGACCGGCGCGGCTTCTGGGTGTCCGAGCAGTACGGCCGCCTGCAGCCCGGCCTGAGCGTGAGCATCCCCCGCCCCGGCCCCGCTCGGCGCCGCCGCGGGGCCGCCGATCCCGCTCCGGGGGCCCCGAGCCCGGCGGGCCTGAGGCTCTCCTTCCCGGTCCCGGGCTGGGAGCCCGCGTGACCTTGGGTGGGTCACCGCCCCCAGCCTCGGGGTGGTCCTCTTGTGAAAGGGGGGCCTGGGGAGGCCCGAGGGCGCTGCGCCTGGCGCAGCCCTGCGCGCAGGAACTGTCGGCTGTCCTCGAGGGCTTCTCAAAAGTCAGGCGAAAAGGAAGCGTAATATACTAACTATCTTTAGCTGACTTTTGAAGTTTTGGTGCATTCGGCCCACAAGTCTTTTAATTTTTTAAATGAAATACACGTTACAAGTAAAGTCCTCTTTGACCCCTGCCACAGTCACGTGCCCATTTCTTCATCCTCACGAATTTGATGAGTGTCTACTGTTCTTTGTTGCCCTTTTCCTTGAATGCAGAGTTCCCAGTGGCATTTGAGGCCCAGAGAGGTTGAGTGACTTTCTGGACATCACACAGTGAGTCAGTGGTCAAGATGGGGTGAGAGCAACTCCTTGCTTTATCCCCTTGCCCTGATGGCCCTGCTGAACCTGAGCCCACCACATCCCCCTGACCCCTCACGTGCTCGGCTCTCTGAGTCGTGATGGACGAGCAAATATCCAGGCACGTTTCTAGACAGATGGCTTGGTTTGCATTGAGTTTAAACTATTTGGTGAAAGGAACGGGCTTTTGTTTTCTGGCATCCCTTGGTTGGCCACATAGGGTCACCACCAGAAGTTTGATGATGATGATATTCGAGCCTATTTTGTACCACAGGTTGACTGCATTAACTCCCGTGTGAATAGACATTATTATCTCCATGATGCCGGTGAGGAGCCTTGTCCTAAGTCAGATAGCCAGTAAGGGGCTGAGCTAGGATTGGAACCCAAGTCTGTCTGCCTGCCAAGCACATTTAGCTCCTCTCCCCCAAGTCCTCTTCTTTGTCCTGCTCTAACAAGTAACGTTTCCTTTGACTTAAAAAAGGTGACTTGACAACAATTGGTTTGTTGAGAGGCAGGTGTTAAAAAGAAAATGAAGCGCCATGTCTCTTCATTAACACCAGGCACTTCAGAAGGTGACTTCCCAGAGTTCTGTGTGCTCACTTCTCCCAGCTCTACTAGCTGATTCCCAGCTTCAAACTGGAGAGAATACTCTAGTAGTTTTGTGCAGCCTCAGTAACATATCCCCCTGCTCTGTGGGCGTGTTCATTTATAGACAGTGCACAGTATTGACAGTCTGGGCACCTTATTTCCTTCCAGAAGTGTATTAGGGCAATAAAATAAAGCCCATCCCCGATTCTGGAAAGGACAGTGGCTTTTGCAGTCCTTTGTACAGGTGTGCAGACCCCAGGACTAAGGAGATGAATTCCCATTTTCTAAGGATGAGGCAAGGGAACGAAGCTCCTGGGACACTAAGGAAGGGGTGGGTGTTCTGGGAATGACCCGCTGAGTTCTGCTTCTGGGACCATTGTAGGAAACGGATTTTAATAAATAAACATGTGCCCTTTATCCCCAGCACAGCTCGCAGCAGGACATCCCTGGGCCTCCCCTTGGCTGGGCTGGCCCAGCATCTACAGTTAAAAGCAACCAGTCAACCAAAATAAATAAATAAAAAATAAAAAAATAAAAAAAATAAAAACAGCCAGTCAACTAACCCAGCTTAATTATGTAAGCACATGTGCTGTACAAAATACTGCTCTGTTCGCATCCCCTCTGCTCTTCATGGTGCTCTGAGAGGTAGCCGGGGCAGAGGTGGAAGGCAACGCTCACTTTAACTGACTTGGAATCCTGCGTTGTCAGGACAGTTGAGGAACTGAGCCCAGAGAGAGGAAGTGTCTTGACCAGGGTCTCAGACCAAGTTAGAGATGGAGGGAGGGAGAGATGGCTGGGATGCTGATCGCTGAGGTGAGGTGGTTAGTCCGGGGTCATGCAGGAAGGGGCAAGGACCTCTCACTCCTCTGTCGTGTACGGTTTCCACCAGCCTGCACTGCCTCTGTGTGAGTCAGAAGCCGTGAGTTAAATTCTGACAGGATCACCCATAAGTGGCCTTGCAAAAGAATCCTCTGTAAGCCTCAGTTTCCTCATCAGTGAGCTGAGGACAGCAATTCTTGGGAGAACAAGGGAGAACATATATTAGCAACAAGTACTCATTTGCTTAACCCCACATAGATTGCAAAGTATGGCCAGTGTGATCTCAGGGTTCTCCACCTGTGCAACATGGTGGTCACACTGGGTCTGGAGTGTGCGGCCTCTGACCTGGCAGAGATACTTCCTGCACCGCACATGTGGGATTTAGGTTCTTACTCCTCAGAGGCCCGGGGTCTGCCTGCCTTCCCCTTGTCCGGGGCCTGGAGAAGTGTGGCACTCTGCAAACCTGATTTCGGCCCTGTGACATGAGGTAGAAACTTCTAGCCTGGGAGTTGGGAGATGGTGTTCAACTCTCAGCAGTGCCACAGTTCTGCTGTGTGACCTTGAGAAAATCTCTTCTCTATTTAGAGCCTTGATTATCTCATATGAAAGATGCGGGTCTGGATTTTTGGCTTTCAAACTTTAAAAGCAGCAGAATAGTTTTTAAACAAAGTACTTACTGACATACCAACCCATAAAACATGTAAAAGAGCTGTTGTAGTTGATATGGGTGAGGAACCTGGCGTTGTGCTCAATTGGCCTTCCACGTGCTCCGCCAGCCCCCCTTAACCTACACGGCACAGCAATACTCTTTAAAAACCTCTGAGTTCCTCCAGCTCTTGAATTGAAGGACTAGCACCGTGTCAAGACCTGGGCCACTCTCAGAGCCTCTACGATGCCTCTGGCCATTAGAGTCAAGCAAGTGCATGATTCATTGATGACCTACCCTGGATCCCAGGTGGCTCTAGCCATGCCTGTAGCAGAGCAGGGTTTGGGATCCACGGCCTTGACACCTTAGCCGTTCTCTGCTGGGTCCTTGCTGAAGTCAGAGCCCCTGGAGATGGGCTGGAACACACACACGCTCCATGTGATCCACCCTCCCCCTAGGATGTGTCCGTGTGTGTGCGTGTGTGTGTGTGTGTGTGTGTGTATGTATGTGTGTGTTGGGGGTGAAGGGAGTGTGGAAGGCTCACACTCTTCATGTCAGCAGCTCTTCCCAGCCGTGCCATCGTCCCTGTGGTGAGTCAAGGTGCTGAGTACCCTGGAAGTCACCTGTTTCCCTCTTGTCTTCCTAGGAGAAGGCCATTAGCATATGGGAATCGGAAAATTTCTTTCTTGACCTGGAGCCTCTACCGGGGGCTGTGGAAGCTGTGAAGCAGATGGCCGAGCTAGAAAAGTAAGTTTGTCTTCCCGCCAGAGCATTTGAGCCTTCCTCCTGCTGGCGCCTCCCCTTCTCCGCTGCTGCTGTCCCTGCCCTCGGCCACCCTGCCTTCTCTCTCCTCATCCCTGCGCAGGCCTCCATGCTTGCATCTTCAGCCCTGGACCTGACAGCACCCTCACTGAGTGACACACACTCGACCTGTAGGCTAGTGAGGTGTTTTGACCCAGTAACAGGAGAAAATATTGAGTCTAACTGGACCTGGTTGACTGGGTGCTGGATGTGCCTTTAGTCAGCAAAGAGCTGAGAACCGATGCTGTTAGATGCTGCCGGACTTCAGTGGTACAGGGACCGACAAACATAATCCTGCCGTCACAGAGCTCGTAGCGCCGCCAGAGCGTAGATGCTGACGTGAAAGAATCTCACAGGCAGGGATAATCACAGATTGTGAAAGTGCTGAAAAGGAACAGAGTAAGGGGTATGAAGGGGTCTAACAGGAGACCTAATGAGAAAGGTGGTGAGGAAGCAGGAGTATTGTGTGAGGTATTTCTCTTTTGTTCTCATGAAGTGGTTGGTTCTGTGAGCTGAAGCTCCCGCTCCATAACCGCCCACTAAAACCCAGCAGTTACAGATGATGCGCTTCCCTGAGGACTTAAAACAGAAAACACAAAAAGCCATATTGAGATGTAACCCTCATACCATATGCCCATTTGAAGTGTACAGTTCAACAGGTACATTCACAGAGTGGTGCATTCGTGACCACAGTCCATTTCAGAACACTTTCATCACCCCAAAAGAAACCCTATGCCCATTGGCAGTCACTGCCCATTTTTCTTCCCTTGCAGCCCTAGGCAGCCACTGTCTGCTCTACGTCTCTGTACATTTGTCTGTGTTAGACGTTTCATGTATGTTTCATGTGCGCACACTGTGTGGTCTTTTGTGATTGGCTTCTTTTATGCCGCACTGTGTTTTCAGGGTTCATCTGCTTCCTAGCACAAATCAGTATTTCATTCCTTTTCATTGCTGGGTAATATTCCACAGTATGGACATGCCACGTTTGGTTCATCTGTCCATCAGTTAGTAGACACTTCTGCTTTTTAGGTATAAAGAATAATACTGCTATGGACACTCATGTACAAGTTTTTTTGTGATTGTATGTTTTCATTTTTATTAGGTGTCTGTATACTTAGGAGCAGAATTGCTGGGTCTGGTAGTAAATCCATGTTTGACATTAAGGGACTGGCCAACTTTTCTTTTTTTTTTAAATTTTTTTTTAATGTTTTATTTATTTCTAGGAGAGAGAGAGAGAGAGACAACGTGAGCAGGGGAGGGTCAGAGAGAGAGGGAGTCACAGACTGAAACAGGCTCCAGGTTCTGAGCTGGCTGTCAGCACAGAGCCCGACACGGGGCTCGAACCCACAAACCGCGAGATCATGACCTAAGCGAAAGTCGGATGCTTAACCGACTAAGCCACCCAGGCGCCCCTAGACTGGCCAACTTTTCTAAAGTGACAATACCATTTGACATTCCCATTAGCAATGGATGAGGATTCCAACTTCATATCCCTGCCAACTGTCATGGTCTTTTTTTAAAATTTTTATTTGTTTTAATTTTTTTTTTTTTAACATTTATTTTATTTCTGAGACAGAGTGTGAGGGGGGAAGGGGCAGAGAAAGACAGAGAAACAGAATCTGTAACAGGGTCCAGGCTCCAAGCTGTCAGCACAGAGTCCAATGTGGGGCTCAAACTCAGGAATGGTGAGATCATGACCTGAGCTGAAGTCAGACACTCATCTGACTGAGCTACCCAGGCGCCTCTCTCTCTCTTTTTTTTAAGTAGGCTTCACGTGTAGCATGGAGCCCAATGCAGGACTTGAACTGATGTTCTGAGATCAAGGCCTGAGCTGAGATCCAGAGTTGGATACTTATAACCAACTGAGTCACCCAGGCTCTCCATGTCATCTTTTTTATTGTAGCTGTCTTAGTGGGGTGAAGGTATAGCTCATCATGTTTTTGATTTGCATTTCTCTGAGGGCTAATGACTTGACCATCTTCTTGTGTGCTCATTATTAGCCATTTGTGTATCTTTTTTGGAGAAATGTTTATTCAAATCCTTTGCTAATTTTTTTTTCAATTGGGTTATTGATCTTTTTTATTGCTACTTTTTAAGAGTTCTTTATTTTAGATAACAAGTCCCTAATCAGATATATGATTTGCAAATATATTCTCTCACTCGGTATGAGTTATTGCTTTACTTTCTTGGTGGTGTCCTTTGAAATCCAAAGTTTTTGTTTGAATATAGTTCAATTTATCTTTTGTCTTTGTGTTTTTGCTATCGTATCTAAGTATCGCTCGCCTTAGCCAAGGTCACAAAGACTTGTTCCTATGTTTTCTTCTAAGAACTTTATAGTTTTAGCTCTTATATTTAGCTCTTTCATTTAGGTCTTTGATCCATTGTGAGTTAATTTTTGCATAAAGTGTAAGGAATGGGTCCCACCTCAATCATCATCCTGAATGACCAATCACACATACGGTATGATTTGGTTTTTATCGTGCCATATAAATACCTCCTCAAATCATCAGCGTTCAAAGTTCTACCATTAGAACTTCGAGTTAGAGTTTGAGTTCAGTTGCAGACTCCTTTGGGTGGTAATTTATTTTTACACTTGAGTCGGGACCTGCAGAGTAGTGTATTTCATTCTGGTTTATGATTTGAACTTGATATATAGTGGGATACTGTTGTACGACTTCTTCCACCTGCAGGGAGAGCCTAGAGAGGCAGAGCACAAGTGTATCTGCACTGAAGCTCTTCTTAACTCTCCTTGGGTCTGGATAAGCGTTTCCTGGACCACATTCAGCCAGCTGTTTCCTGGGGTGCTGGATAGCATAGTGATTAAGGTTATGTCCTAAGTGGAGTCGAGCTGCCCAGGCTCAAATCCGGGCTTTTCTAGAATCTAACTCTCAGAGGTTGGGCAAGTTATTAAACATTTTGGGTTTCAGTTTCTTCAAGTATAAAATGAGGGCTATGAGAAAGTCTTCAGTATGGCTCCTGGCACACTGTAGGTGCTCAGTAAAGGTTAGCTGCTCGTGTTATTATCCTGCAAGAGTTAACAGGTATGCAACAAAAAAGCATTCATTAGGTAAAACAGCGTGGGGGGCATTGGATTAAGGTTTCTCTACCTTCAGACTTCTAGGGGCTTCTAGTTTGCTAGTGTGCTTCAGACTTGCTAGGGGCTTCCCTGGGGTTGCAGAGCATGCAGCATTCTTCATGTGAATCCTAGCCTAGAACACTTCCCGTCAGAGCTTCCCTGTTAACACCTCTGAAAATGCAAGTCCAGAACAAACCACAGACCTTTTACCTCCATTTGGCTCCTAACTGGGTAGATTCCTAAGGTCAGTCAGTGCCCAAAGTTTGGACAGAGAGAGACTGATCTAGTCAGTAACTAAGTGGTTAGCCTTGTGTCTAGTGCCAAAGTAGACAGAGGCCAAGGTATAAAATGTTACTTAAGGGATATTTGTCAGGCACCTGCTACATGCTGTGGATACAGAAGTATGCAAGAGACAGCAAGAGACATTGCCTTCAAAGAGTTCACTAGCAAACAGATGACTAGAGCATAGTTCTAGAAGTGGCGTGGCAGATGTATGAATGCAGACAGGCAGTGCTAATACTCCACAGGGGAGGCGGTGATACTTGAGCTGTCATCTTGAAAAATGAAGAGGGATCTGGCAGGTGGAGAAGGCAAAGGGGTGTCAGGTGGAAGGGGAAAAGTGAGCGAACACCTTACCTGCCCACTGTCCTAAAACAGCCGCCCTGGCTCACCGTGTCCTTGCTCCAGCAGCAATGAGCAGGAGGCACTGCGTCCTTCGACCAACTTCAGTGGCAACTCCCCTTTTTTTTTAATGTTTATTTTTATTTTTGAGAGGGCGGGGAGGGGCAGACAGAGAGGGAGACAGAGGATCCAAAACAGACTCTGCGATGACAGCAGAGAGCCTGAAACAGGGCTTGAACGCACAAACCTCGAGGTCATGACCTGAGCGGAAGTCGGACGCTCAAGTGACTGAGCCACCCAGCCATACCCTTTATTTTTATTATTCAGTGATACATGAGTATATTCTTGTGAAAAACTCAGTGTGCACATATGTGAAAAATATGAGTTGCTCATTTTCTCCCTCTCTCCCTGTGTACATCTCCCGCCTCATTAACAGTCTGGGGTGTATGCTATGCTTAAAGACCTTTTAAAATTCATTTACGTAGAGGGGCGCCTGGGTGGCTTAGTCGGTTAAGCGTCCGACTTTTGCTTAGGTCATGATCTCGCGGTTCGTGGGTTCGAGCCCCGCGTCGGGCTCTGTGCTGACTGCCAGCTCAGAGCCTGGAGCCTATTTCAGAGTCTGTGTCTCCCTCTCTCTCTGACCCTCCCCTGCTCACGCTGTCTCTCTCTCTCTCTCCTAGAAATAAATAAATTGAAAAAAAATAAAAATAAAATAAAAATAAAAAAATAAAATTCATTTACGTACATATTTGTATGGTTTACAAACACGGGTTTATCTGTGTATAAATTTATATGTTCTACCCAGTGGCTAGGCTGCTGCAGCTAAAGAGGCCTCTGTCTGCACCTACCTGTTCCTCCCCATTCCCCTGGGTATGTTCTCTAAGCTGATACTATATGTCTGTGTTGTCCCTTCCTCTTTAAATGTGAGCTCCCTGGGGTCAGGGACTGTCTCAGTTATGGCTGTATTCTCTGTCCTGAGGGTGCTACCTGGCACAGGGCACAGGCTCAGGTATTGGGTGAATAAACATTCACGTAATAATTATTGTTTATAAAATAGGAATGTGATCTTCTATATTATTCTATTGCTTTCTCTTTTGTACCTAACAGTACGTGTTTGCTATCTTTCTGCAACAACACTGTGGAACTATCTTATTCTTTTAAACTACTGCATCATGTTTTAATTGTATACATATGCCATCATCTATTTAATGAGTTCCATATAAACATTTAAGTTGGTTCTCATTGCTTC